TTTTTTTTTTTTTTTTTTTTTTTTACATTGCTATGTAAAGCAGCTGTCTTGTTTATAAAATGTGCCATACAAATAAAGTTGGACTGGATTGGATTGGAAGGTGGAGGCTTTAATATGAGACCTTTTGTTTTTTGTTTTTTTTGTTTGTTTGTTTTTTTTGCCTCTTCCAACACCTACCTTTTTAATCTAGTGTGTGTGTGTGTGTGTTTTTTTTTAATTGTTATGTTATATATGTGCAAAATAAATAAAAATGTATTCATTATGGGTGTTTGTATTGCTCACAAATACAATAATTCCTCCTACTCTCCACAGATCTGAACTGTAATGTAGTGTGTGACAAAGTGGGCCTTTGTCTTATTTTAAACTCACCTTAATTTATGTTAACCATTTTGATTTTGGAAAGACACCTTTTGCTTTGCTTTACCTGGAATTGTTACTCACCTGGGGGAGGTACTTCCTCCTGGGCGGAGTATAAAAGGCAAGCAGGTGTCACTAATTAGGGGGAGACTTCTGTCCAGGTATTTGGTGTTTTGCTTTGAGTTACTTATTTTTTGTCTATTTGTATTTTTGTTGGTTAAACCCAGAAGTCTGTTTTTTAAAATAAATTTTGTCTGCGTAAGACACCTTTTTTTTTTTTGTGTCATCTGCCTCCTACTTCGACCACTTTGGCCAGCTTCCCCACATAGTGTATTGCTGCAACCTGTAAAGCAATATTTCCATGGAGACGTCATGTGACAGACCTTCCACTAGAAATGTTACTCAGTGCACCTTTAAGTGAGTAAACATAGTAATTGGTGGTTTTCAGATTCTAGATTATGATTATGTCATACTCCCAGATACAGATACTGTACGAATCCATGAAATATCCCAAAAGTAAATGCACAAATGTTGAACCTGATCATTTCTATTACTGACAAGCTACCTACATGTATTAAAAAATATCTCCCTATCGAATATTAATTCATTTCATTTGATCTGAAACCCAACAATACATACATAGTTAAAGTAATTGTAGTAGTTGTAGTAATTGGTTCAGTAGTAAGATTGAGAAGTATAAGTAAAGCAATGGCAGAACTTACTACAAATAGTAATAGCTTGAAATAATTTGAACATTAGAAGCAGTAGTAGAAGTATTTGTAGCAATCAAAGTAGTGGAAATTATTATTAGTAGTATTACAGCTTTTATATTTTATTACTTATCTTTCTATTTTATTTTGACTTGTACATTTACATTTATAAAATTTTATATTTAATGATGTCTTATTTCACACCAGTCTCTTGCGTTTTTTTATGCTACTTATTTAGAATTTATTATTACCATTTATATATTTTTTTTACTCTTTGTTATTATATTATATTGTGATGTGTGAGCTACTGTGTCCAAATAATTTCCATTGTGGCTCAGTAAAGTTTGTCTAAATCAAAGTGTAGACTATTCATTGCAGTACTGTAGAATCACTAATAGTAGTAGCAGTAGCAGTAATGGGTGGGTCGTGAGGTCACTTTTCATGTGGTGATTGAGTAACGTACAACTTACAGTAATATTATGTGTATTCTTGCCACTGGTGGTTTTGAAAAAAGCCTTTGTACTTCCACTTTATTTTGACACAATGCTAATCTCTGAATCCTGCACGCATGACATTGAACAGGCCTGTTTTGTGGCCATTTCAAACAGATTCACTTTCACTAAACTGTTTACACACTGCACACATCCTTCTCTAGTCTTAAAGCTCCTATATTTAACATGAAAGTGACTCTAGTGAGGTTTAAATTACCTCATCAAAAACATACCCGGAGTTGTGTTTTGTTAACCAGTGCCTCCACTCAACTTCATTTCTCTCCAGCGACTAGGACAGGAATCGGAATACGCTAGATGCTTTGCAAGAACCCTGGAAGTGTGAGTCTGGGCACCAGCCAATCAGCAAAGAGCCATACATTCTGTGTTGGCAACGATTCCTGAGAGTGAAGATTTAAAGCCAAAACAAAGAGAAGGTTTGGTGAATTTTATCAAGGAGAAAGATTGGTTAAATAAAAAAGTCCCCGCCTACTGTCAAGAGAACAAATCCTAATGCTGCGAGCCTGATTCATTAGCTGGTTTCACTTTGTAGAAACCGTCTGATGAATCAGGCTAGTGTTTTGTTTCATTCACACATGTTTGAGTAATCTTTTATTATTAGTCTGCCTACATCTACAAAGCTCAAAATTCTCAGTTTCACCTTGTCATGAATCTGTTGTTTTCAAGTAGCTACTTTTACCTTTAGATCATAGAGATCAGCAATTCTAGGGCTGAAATCATCCAAATGATTTTAGAGAAGGTGTATGGAGTCATCAAAAGGTGTTTTCCAGTTGAGAAAAGTACTCAGTCTAATTATGCAGGGTTTGTGTGTTAAACGTGTGAATGAAACAAAACACAACTCTAGGTATGTTTGTGATGAGGGAACAACTTTATAACAGATCCCAAAATAGTGAATGGGCCTTTCAAAAGTCAACACAGCTCTGAACGCGTGCCAGTCGCTTCCTCTCTTACATAGGAGGCTGTGGTTCTTTGTTTGTCAGCAGTTTGGGACATGTTTTGTCAACACGTGAAATGAGAAGGAAAAGGGTCCTATGGTTGAAATTTGAGGAAAGCTACAGGTTATCAGAATGCTGTAAGATAAGAAGAAACAATCAGAGAGGCAATTTACATAAGCCCTGCGTTCTTTGAAATGTTAATTACGCAAGTGTTGCTCTAAGCAGGGAAACTAGTTCTGCAATGTGCATACAGGCTGACAATTCCTAATTTGAAAAGAATGAAGCCAGTCAATGAAATGTAATGTCATAGAGTAAAACTACACCTACTCATAAAATGCAAATCATATTGAAAACTTTAATAAAATCATGTTAAATGAAATCTACATGTTTATAGGTACACTACTGCTCAAACGTTTTAGAATACCACACTTTTTCTAGTTTTTTACTGTTTACTATTGGCAGTATTGTTCTTTTTACAACAGAAATCAAATATTCTTCAGAAAGTTCTTCCCAAGTCTGTTGCAGAAGTTTCCATAAATGTGTGGCACTTGTAGTTTGTTTGGCTTTCACTCTTCTGTCCAGTTCATCCCAAACCAGCTCGATGGGGTTTAAGTCTAAACACTGTGCTGAACACTCCATGTTTTCAAGCTTTACCATCTTGTTCTTTTTTTCCTGAGGTAGATTTGTCAGAGCTTGGACTTGTGTTTTGTTATCTTTTATCTTTTTTTTTTTTAACCTCTGGCTGTTCAGTACTTACCTTTGTACCTGTAACAAACAGGCTGGTTTGTTACCCCAGAACCACACTTAGCACCTTCACCCTTCACTAAAGCACTTTAAAACACTGCACTTTCCTAGCACACAGCACTTTTAACATATTTGCACATCACAAAATAAATTGCACACAATTGGTTTTAAAAAATATTTATTGGCTTTCCTTTAACCATTTTTTATTCCTGAGGCACAGCACTTTAATTGGAAGTTGCTTGTCCCTGGAGGAAAAGGGAGACAATAATAAATTACATTTTAAATTGACTTTGTGCAATAAATATGGTGCATGCAATATCTGTTTTAGAATGTTTTAAGTGTTGATGTGTTTAGTGTATTTTATTGTGTTTTAATGAATGGTGGATCTGCTTTTACTTACCTCCCCTTTTTATCTTCTGTCCAGGTGTGAAAAGAGTCCCCCGGAAACGAGCTCCCTCTTTTATGGTGGTTATGGACCACGTGTAACATTTTGTACAGGGGTTTTAGGTTAGGTATTTTATTGGTTTATGGGTTTTAAACATTTAATTGGTGTAATGGTTTTAGGGTTTTATGTATATAGTTGGTGGTTTTAATAGTTATCTGGGTTTTGGGGTTGTTTTATGGAGGTTTAGGTTTTAATTTTACGCTAATGATAATTTTAACCATCCCTGTTTTAGCATAGTGGTTTTATCCAATCAGTAGGACCGGCATAAAAGGCGCCTTCAAGATCAGTCTGTGTTCTGCTGCTGGAGAGGAAACTGCTGCCTGCCTCCGTTTTGCACCCTGCACTTTTTGCACTTGCACTTTTGTAATCATTGAAAAAACAAAAAGTAAACTGTGGACCACAAGTACCGGTCTGTGTCTGGATTTGTTTTTTACCTTGCTCACTGAACCCCAAGCCGCTCACGGTCAACCTACATTACAGTACCATTTCAAGCTCTTCATTGAACTTGCACGACTTGACTTGGCATAAACAACTGAAAAAATGTGGCTGTTCTAAAACTTTTGACTGGTAGTGTAGATATAACAATTAATTTAAAGAAAAGTAATCAATCATTTTAAAGTTGTATTTTTTATTTTATAACATTTTTGGTACATTTTTTATTTATAATAAAAAAAAATGTATGTTATAATTTTTCGTTTATATATATAATTTAATTAGCCAAGCGTGATGGATGAATTTAACTAATTATTTATGGAACAAACCATTCTGCACTGGAGCTCTGTAACACTTTATTTTGTGCCTTTTCTGCCTATCAAATCTGCAAAACAAATTTATCTAGGGGTACGAATAAAGCAACCTAACCTAATAATTTGTACAAAGTCGAAAATATTCTAACTATTTAGGGGAAGTTCATTTAGGTTTCATGTACTTATTTATGGTAAACATGCCATAAATTAAAATATTACAAATGTATAATGCTAAATATTAGAGTAGGATGCTTAAATAGACTCCTAAATTTGCATATCTTGAATTATTTTTTTGAGATTTGTTTTAAATATCTATACAGTACATTAACATTCATGCTTGTAATTTGAGTTTCCTTTCACCTGTTGCCTTAACATAAAGTCTTCTTGAAATGCTTCACTCCACGCAGTTGTTTTGCCCAAGCCCCCACTTTTTACTTTTTTTTTTTTAACAGTAAGCCCAAAAGACAAAGGAGTGGGAGGAGTCAGCCTGGGGGGTAGGTTAAGTGGGCGGAGCGACTACAGCTGCTGCTCTCAGTCCCCACTCCAAGTACAAAAACTGCGTGTCTGTGAAGCCGGCACAAAGGAGAAGTGGGAACTCTGAGTGCTGTGCTGTGCTGTGCTGAGCGCCTGGGGCTGTCAGGAAGGAGCGAGGCAGCCCAAAAACAAGTGGCTGCTGACTGACTTAAGCAGAGTGCGTGGAGGATAGAAGACAAGAAGAAGCAAGGAGGGAGGAGGAGGGGACAGGAAACCAAGTCTGTGGACAACACTAGAGACATTCACATTGTCATACACGCGGGACTCAGTAGCAGCAGCCTGACTGAGTGGAGTGGAGTGGAGCTCTCTTTGTGCCATGTTTTCTGGTTCTGTTTATGGATTTATTCACCAGACAAAACACCAGATGGATTTTGACATGAAGCACATTTAAGGAACTTCAAGATCTTCACCAGAATTGGGATATACCTGAATTAAACTGAGGACATTTTGGAATATCTGAAGGAATCCCACGACTGGTTTCAATGAGTGAGTAAAGATCTCGTGGGTTGAAACTACAAGCTGATTTTACATTGAAAAAGACCAGGGGGAGGGGAGGTCGATCCAGCCTGGGTACCCTTTCCACAGAGGGGAAGGGGGGTCTTTTCAAACATGAGGTAACCCCCTGATTACAAGGCAAGAAAGGGGAGGTGCGCCCTGCAACCATGTGCGACGGACAGCTCCAAACATGTCAACCAGACTCTTGCTAATACCTGAACTGTCAAGAAAAGGACTTTGTTTATGACTGTCTGAGTATTTCGTACGAGTCATTCACTCTTCCAGGAGTTGATGTTTTCTTCTTATTAAATTACATAACAAACTACCCAGGATGTACAACGCAACTTTTGTGGACCCAACCACAAACCACCAACCCACGAACAGCACCAACGCTTCATGCCCCAAAAATGACGAGTTCAAGTACCCGTTGTACAGCACGGTTTTCAGTATTGTTTTCGTGGTGGGGCTCATTACGAACGTGGTGGCGATGTATATTTTCACATGCACTCTCAAACTGCGTAACGAAACCACTACGTACATGATGAACTTGGTAGTGTCTGATTTTTTGTTTGTCTTCACGCTACCTCTACGTATTTTCTATTTCATCAACCAACACTGGCCGTTCGGAAGCATGCTCTGCAAAGTTTCCGTATCTTTATTTTATACCAACATGTACGGGAGCATCCTCTTTCTCACCTGCATCAGCGTAGATAGATTCCTCGCTATCGTGCATCCATTTCGCTCAAGGACTTTGCGGACGAAGCGCAATGCCAAAATCGTATGTGCGGCAGTTTGGGTGCTAGTGTTATCCGGGAGTCTTCCTACGGGATTCTTGCTGAACAGTACGTCAGTATCTCTTCAGAACAAGACAAACTGCTTCGAGAACTTTTCATCCAAGCAGTGGAAATCCCATCTCTCCAAAGGTGGTCATTTTCATCGAAACGGTCGGCTTTATCATTCCACTCCTTCTCAACGTCGTCTGTTCCGTCATGGTTCTCCAAACTTTACGCAGACCGCAAACTGTAAGTCGTGGCGGGAAGCTCAACAAAACCAAGATTCTGCGTATGATTATTGTGCACCTGTCAATTTTTTGCTTTTGCTTCATACCTTACAACGTCAACTTAATCTTCTACTCACTAGTCCGTACCAAAACTTTAAAGGGATGTTTTGCGGAGTCGGTAGTACGGACGATCTACCCCATAGCCCTTTGTATAGCCGTGTCCAACTGCTGCTTCGACCCCATCGTGTATTACTTCACTTCAGAAACCATCCAGAACTCCATCAAGAGAAAAAATACAGTCACCCGCTCTGACGTCAAGTTCTCCGAGGCTCTGCAGTCGGAAACCAGCTCCAACCTGCAGTGCAGCCTGAGGAATCTCAAAGCCAAAGTCTTCCACAACGAGTCTTCAGTATGACAGGTAGCCCAAGGATATCACCACAACAGGTTTTTGAGTCCATATCTCCTTTGACGGACAGCCACGCCCCCGTAAGCTGCTTTCCAGGATCTTTGCAGGGTTTGGTCCCACTATTGTAACACAACTTTTTTTGTTCAACCACCATCAGTGTTGTCGTGTCCAACTATTTTGAACAATGGAGTCGGTCACCCTAGTTTTGTCTTACATGCTGTTAAAAGTTACAGATATTTCGAAGCTGAATTGTCATTACAGTCGATGAAACACAATGGATGGTTTCAAAATGTAGTATTCATAATCTTATTTGCATTAACTCAAGCAGTTTTGGTTTTCTTCTTCACATTTTTATAACATCAGTATTATTTTCCAGAGGTGACATGCTGCACTCGCTAAAACTGCTCTTAAATTCTCAGTTTTTTGTTGTCAAATGATAAAAAAATTCAATTAAGAAACAGAATTTGTAGTGGTATTTTTAACAAGGCCTCTGCTGTGCGAAATGACATGGTGTAGTTGCATAAGCCTTTTGGGAAACACAATGGAACAATCTGCTGTATTTACTTGCCCTTTGAAATCAGCAGGGAGCCTCTTTGTCATGAACACTGTTTTTGAGTAAACGCTCGCTAAATGATGGTCTTTTACCATTTAACTGTCTCAGCTGCATTTTTGTGGTCCTTGGAGATTTACGTGTTTCCTATCTGGAGGTTGTTTTTTCCACTTTTTATGACCTTGTGCTACCAACTTGAAATTTGAACACTGGTGAACTTCAATAAATTCAGTAAAATGGAATCAAACAGAACTAAATTTAAGCACAAATTTCAATTAAAGGCTAAAATATAGTCCACCAGAACCTAATATAAGAACTCGGAGAATAAATGATTAGAACACAGCACTGGTCTTGAACATAACCTGATTCGCAGTCAAAAATAAAAGTCAATTAGCCCAAAATACTGAAATTAATTAACTACACGGTTGCAATGTTGGCAAAATAACACAAAAAACTCTCAAAATCAGAATTCTATATAGTCAGCTACAAACGATGCTTTCAAGTACCATCTGTACACTTCAGTTTCATTGTTTAAGCAGTGGAAATAAATCCATTCTGCGCATTATAAGTACCGTTTTTTTACCGGTGATTCCAGTTCACCCCCACATTTCAAGTTCATTCACAGTTATGCAGTAATTACCAAAACACGCAAATCTAATTCTGCGTTAACTCTGCCTTCGTAAGCACCTGTCAGTATTATTGTATTAGCCCTTTCTCGGGACAAATGTTGGAAACTGCCATTGGCGCCATCTGCTCTGATTCATTCACTTTGCCGTACTGCTAATGACTACTTAATGGGTATTTTCTGTTTCCTGGGGAGTATTATACAATTGTGTTTGTCTCAATTAGTGGGCCATCGACCTGGAAGGGAATTTAATAGCCACTGAACCCAGGAACGGTCATGATACTGAGGCTGCAAGCGCTCGCTCGTCTGGACAATGCTGTTGTGGTGCTAACTTCAGACTAGAATTTTAATTTAATGATGTAAGTTTTATTGACGTTGTACAGTGTTTTTGTTTTATTGCTGTTGTTATAATTGTAAATAAGTAAAAGATGTCTGTTATAGTGGCGTTTCTCTGTGGATTTTTGTGGTCATTTAATGCACTGACACTGAACTTCAGATACTGCACTCGAGCCACGATAATGAATAAAGTCATGTATTGTGTTAAATTAACCGGTGGGTGTGTTGTCTCTTATTGAATTATTATTATTATTGTAATTTTTATAAAGGGGAAGTGTATGCAGGGACTATTATTATTAACATAGTAGTGTATTACTATTACTGTATGACTCAGTCCCTATGGTAACATAACATAACACAAGAAACAGGTTACGTATTTACTTTTTTTTTTTTATTTGCAGTTCATAATACTCAAAGCAAAACATATAATAATCCCATTTTGAGCTTTTAAAAAGCAAATGTTTGGATTGCATTTGAAAAGAACTGCTGACCTGTGCTGTAAACTAATTTGACCTTTTGACCCTTGCCTCTCAGTGTAGATAATTTCCAAAACAAAGCAAATTATTTTGAGTTCTTTTGTCATTTCAACTCCACGTAAATGTAAAATAAAAGTAAATACAAATAGATTTCAAACTGAATAGAGGATTTTAAAGGTGCATTGTGTACATTTTCTGGCAGAGGGTCCCAAATGTTGTTTGGATTAAGAAAAACACACTAGATCATTTTACTTGTCAAACTGAATCGACTCAAATAAAGTAAAATGTACTTAATTTAAGTCATTATAGCTTACCTAGATATTGTTTTTTTTACTAACAAAACTGTGAAAATGCTACTTTTTCTTCTTAAAATGCCTTGACAAAAGTTAATCCAAAGAACTAAGACTTAAAAGTGCTTAGAACTGTTATTTCTTCATGTAGTCTACACTGAAATGGAGCAAAGGATCGTGGTCTATGTAGTTCCCTCTGTCTTTTTCTAAACTATTGCTGCACCAAAACTCTTAATTTAAGCAAAGACACTTGTAATTCGATATATTGTGATGCTCCACGATATTATTGTGAGAACTTTGACAATATGATATCACTATATTTTGGTTATTGTTACATCCCTATAACTTACTTAAATATGTTTGTTTTTTTTTGCAGTGTGGACTATGTAACTTTTTGTTTGGGGGTGTGTCACCTGCTTGTTTCTATGGAGATGCCATTGCTCTGCCTGGAATGTTCCACAGTGTGACATTAAACGGGTTCTACCTTAGATTTATTCAATTACAGGTGGTTTTAGCTCAAAAATACTTACAAACACAGACTGTAACTTGGTCTGGTTTGGTCTCCATGAAGATAGAAATAAATGAATTAATACCATACTGTGAAACATTCTTATGGAGAAGAGCATTTGACGGACCCTCCACCAGAAAAATTACACAATGCACCTGTATATTGTATGATTTTTTTTAGTAGAGGTTATTTTTGCATCAACACAATAATAAAAAAGTGAAGTAGATCTGCACTGATTTAAAACTGTCTGGAAAATTGCGTGTATCCATTTCTATTATCTTTAGAAGTCTGCAGTATGTTTATAATCTATGACGACTGTGAGTCATTATTTTGTATTTTGGGAATCACTGTCCTCTCACTTCCTGTCGAAGCTGATTTACCCTTTTATGGATGTCTTCAAAAACGTCATGACAACAAAATGCTGCACTGCCGGCCCGTGCTGACAGCCCCGCCTACGGAAAGCTGCAAATCACAAATTACTCAAACACGCATGAAATCAAAACATCTCTGAGTGTAATTATAACGTGTTTAATAGCTCTTAAAGGTGCATTGTGTAACTTATATGGTGTACGATTCTTTCTGTCTTCATGGAGACCAAACCAGACCAAGTTACAGGTCAGATCTGTGGAGAGGAGACCCCGCTCACAGTAAGAATGCCTGTTTTTCTAGATATTTTTGAGCTATAAAACCACCTGTAATTGAATAAATATAAAGTACAGCTGTTTAATGTCACACTGTGGAACATTTTAAGCAGAGCAATGACATTTCCATAGAAACAAGCAGGTTATGGACTCCCTAACCAACAAGTTACATAGTCCACATGAGAAAGAGCACAAATGATTAAGAGAGATAGCAATGGAACAACATTTCCATAGAAACCAATAGGCTAAGAGTCAGGTTTGTGGAGATGCAAGCCCACTCGGAGTAAATACGTAATTTTTTTCTGTGCAATATATACAACCAAAATGCTTTTATTTTGGTCTATTTTTGGCTAAAAAGTTCCATTCCGTGGCTTAAAGGTTGTATAGAGGATTTTCCAAGGAAAGAAATCCAGCGACTTTTGTCCTTTTTCAAATGTTGCGCATGCGTGAAACCACCCCCCTCCCCTACAGCTCCCTACGTAGAAACGCCTTCTCCGCCTCCTCTTTACGCCAGAAACAGGTTTGTTTACAGCCGGTGCTGCACATGACTTGTAAACAACTAACTACAGTGTTGGTTAGGCAAGGTGGAGAAGTGAGGAGCGGGTGGAGCGGGTGCGCGGACATTTCGTTCACGGACGAGAAGTGAGGAGCAGGGAGAAGAGCGGAGCAGGGAGAGAGGAGAGAGGAGAGAGGAGAGGGGAGCGGTGCGCGGAGATTCCGTGCCCGGAGAAGTGAGGAGCAGGGGAAAGAGCGGATCGGGCAGCGGGGACAGGAAAGGGGTGCAGAGAAGGTTGCGCGGAGATTCCGTGCGAATGAACTAGCTACAACACGCAGCAGCAAGCGGACTCTTTCTTTGCCTTGAAAATTACGTTTTCAGACATAGGATATCGCTTTCGTGTCCTGAAAAACGTTTGTCTAGCTCTTGGAAATAAAGTACGTTTTCATAATAAGCAGAAGTGACCTGTCCAGGAGTAATTTGGCGACCAATGCGTCTGCTTCAGTTGCGCCATCGCTGGAATGAATCTACAAGAATCACCTTAGTTTGGCTTCGCTGCTTTTCCCCTTGTCTTCTTCTTTCAGCGACCTCAAAAACGGACTTTCTTTTGTGGCTAACTGCTCCTGGATTCTTGTCGCCATTGCAACAAACTTTGTGCTAACTGCGAGGAAGATATAGGTCAAAAAAAGCCGCTAAGAACTGTTGCGTTGGTGGAGTAAACAGCGTCTGTGCGGCTTGCGTCTGCGTGACAGGCGTACGTAAACCACGTACCGGCGGCGCGCAGGCAGGTCAGTTACGCTAGAAACTTAGGGAGATTGATTGACAGCCTGTCAGCTAACAGATAACGAGGCAGTGTCGTTATCTATTGGCAAATGTTTAGCTGGCCCCACCACGTCCAGAGTTGATGAATTTTTATTCTCTTTTTTTTGTCATCATAATTACAAGGCTACTGCACCTCTATAATGCTATCATTGACAACTTGAAACAAAAACAAACAAAAAAAAATCCTCCATACAACCTTTAAATATTGGATTTTAGTTTTTATTTCTTAAAGATGCATTGTGTAACTTTTCTCATCAGAAAAAACAATATCTAGGATTAAGAACATTTTACTTTATTTAAGTCGATTCAATTTGACAAGTAAAATTATCTACCAAGGGAATAAGTGTGTTTTTCTTAATTCAAGCAACAGTCGATTTTGTTTCTTATTTTAAGTACAAAAAAGTTCTTGTTTTTCTTATTTTAAGTGAAACAAGTTGTATTTTCATATTTTAATTACAAACAGTCTTATTCCACTGGCAGATAATTTTTTTTTAGCCTGATTCATCAGCCGGTTTCACTTCGAGGAAACCGTCTGACCTCGCAGCATTAGGATTCGTTCTCTCAACGGTAGGCGGGTACTTTTTTTATTTAACCAGTCGCTGCTATTTGGTCGTGACGTATGTAATGTGCCGCTAACGGGGCTAACTGGTATATTAAGTTTCTCCCAAATCTTGTAGGAAAAAGGGCAATAACGTCTTTCCCCTTGATAAAATTCACCAAACATTCTCTTTGTTCCGACTTTAAATCCTCGATCTTAGCTTGACTAGATTTTGTTTTTTGCAGTGCACCTTTCAAGATGATTAAAACTGATGTCTCCTTTATAACCCACATTTTCATGCCTTCAAGTGAGTAGTATCTGATGCTCGTGCAAGGAGGAGCTGAATATGTGGAACCAGCATCTCCTGACTTCCACGGGGGAGTGCCAGCTTCCTGTGTGGCAACGCGCGATTGCAAATCAACAGAGCAAGTTTAGAAACATTGTGTAACCTTTTTAGTTATTGCTTTGTCTGTAATGTTTCACAGTATGGTATTAAACCTTACCTTAAACCAACTTAACTTGACTAGATTTTGTTTTTTGCTGTGCTGGTGCTTTTCTCCATGTCACTGCTTTGTCAGAAATGTTTCACAGTATGGCATTAAACCTTTCTGTCTTCATGGAGACCAAACCAGACCAAGTTACAGGTCAGATCTGTGGAGAGGCAACCCCGCTTACAGTCAGAATTCCTCTTTTTCTAGGTATTTTTTGAGCTTGTAATTGAATAAATCTAAGGTAGAGCTGTTTAGTGTCATACTGTGGAACATTTCAAGCAGAGCGATGACATCTCCATAGAAACAAGCAGGTGACGGACCCTCAGCCAAAAAGTTACATAGCGCACCTTTAAACGGGCTCTTTAAAAGCAGTTGTAATTCACATTTGTCACCGCATAATCACTTTCTCTCGGTAGTAAACGCACGTCGGCCACAATGTAAAAACACGGCCAGAGCTGTATGTTTGGTTTCTAAGCTAGACCGGAATTTCAATTTATCACGTCGACACCCCCCCCCCCCCCCCCCCCGCACGGCCGGGTGGGTTTAGTGGAGGCCAGAACAGCCAGTGAGCCGCTCTCACAGTATCAGAATGCTTTGATGTCATGTTGTACTGTAAGATGCATGGTAGATTTCAGATTTATAGAGCTTTAGTTATTGTTTTATTATTTATTTATTGGGCAATGAGTGACAATTAAAGATTAAAATCATTTTATTTTTCATACTCCCAGTTGCTTAATAAATCTTCATTTACTTCTCTGCAGACATCATACACAATTTGCGAAATATATCTTTTAATTAATAATGCAAATAATAATAATGCCTTGCACATGTCATGCACTCTTCTCTCTCATTTAATGTCTTTCTCTTTTTAATTTTATGATTACTTATGTTTTGATTTGTTTATATTGTGATTTTAATGTATTTCTCATTCCAGTGTTTCCCAAACTTTTT